TTAGCAAACCTATCGATCTTGGAGTGTTCAGTAGGCACCAAGTAGGGGAATAGCTTCATCTTCTCGGTGAATGCGGTGTCATACTCATCCACACTCATATTTCCTTTCTTCAGGTTCTAAAATTCGTTGTTTAGGTCTATTAGATCTATCTCTGAGCAGTACTGCATTTTCAACTGCTCCACGAATGCTTCCCAAGACATTCGCATGGCTTCTCCTCGTGGCATTGTATCCGCCAACAACTTCCACCAAATTAGCACTCCATCCTTTAGTTATCTGACTGCAAAGACCGTATTTTTCTTATCGCTACAGTCGCAGCTCTCAAATACCATCTCCATCTCGGAGATCCGGTCCATAATCTCCACTGTTTTGGGCTTCCAGCAAGACTTGGTGGTTTGGCACTCAAGAAGTTCTTATACATTCGCCCATCCTTGTCGTTTCCCCTCTCCAGGCCATTTCTTCGTTCTCCTTGAGTCCAAGCCTGACTCACAGGGCGGGTGTAGTTCCTTTCCTCCGATTGCTCGGGGACCAGTTCAGGTTGTACGATCAGTATTGTAGCTTCCTCTTTGTTCTGTTGAAGTAAGCGTCCGGTCTCCTCCATTTGACGATCCAACATCATTTGGATCATTGCTTGTACTCCGGCCATATTGATTGGCTCAGGAGGTTCTACCACAACATGTATTTGCTCAATCACTGGGGGTTGATTCCTGTTTCCGTTCGCATTTCTGGCTTCGCTTCGGGTTCTTTCCATTTCGATCTTATTCACCAAATTAGGCATTTGGTGGGAAATGACGAGAATTAATATAGGAAAGATTTTATTTATGATCGACGAGTAAACCTCCCCATCACTCCGAAAAGTTACATGTCAGTTCTAATACCGTATTTAAACGTTTAGAAATCTGAACACATAAAGTTTCCAGATCCGGTCGGCAACAGACCATAGATCCGATCATACATTTAGCATCATAAATCATTTAGCACATAAAAGCATGTTAGGCATTTTCCCTAAATTATCTAGTGCTTGTGTATATTCAGGTGTATTACCTAAATTTTATTAGACACACTCCTCACAATCATCGCTTAGCATTCTAAGTTTAAGTCTAGAAATAAATCCATATTCCTAGTTCGCTTAAACTAATGCATAGATACCAACTGTGACATCCCCATTTTCACGGCTAGAAAAGACCGATTTTGTTTATGCTTTATAAAAATCAGAGTAACTCTTTTAATAAAAATGTTGTGGAATTTGTTCCCAGAAAAACATGATAAATGTATTATTAAAGCATTTCTAAAGATATGTATTTTTATTCCTTTTAAAACCTTAGGATGTCATCGTCAATACAGAAACATAAGCATAAACAAAACTTACTTTCATTTACACTAGTGATCTACATCTCTTTTAAATCTCTCAGTGTAAAGTAGCTTCATATCGACACCTGTGATACAAATAAGCTTGAGTGGGTCAGGCTGGGAAACCTGGTGAGTACATAGGGTTTTCAACCCATAATAATATAATTATTATGTTTAATTGTCAAAAAATCAACCCAATTACCCATCCCTATTATCTTCGTTATTCTTAAGGGTCTACCCTAAGAATCATCTATCATGCATTCGTTCATTCTGAAATCCATCGCTTCCAGGGTTCATATGATAGGCACTAAGTCCATAGTTGCCAATGCTCGTTCGTAAAGCACTAATTCCATAGCTGCTAAAGTTCATTCATCGGGTACTAAATCCATAGCTACCAATGTTTATCTAATAGGTACTAAATCCATAGCTACCAACGTTTATCTAACAGGTACTAAATCCATAGCTACCAGCGTTTATCCAATAGGCACTAAGTCCATAGCTGCCGATATTATTTATTAGGCACTAAGTCTATAGCTGCCATTGTTCACTCATATCATCTTTCATCTCTCATCATTCATCTACCCATGTTTTACCCAACATATTCGTAGATATAAAATACATATACACTTTAAATTATTTAACACATGTATAAAATCGTTCATCCTGCATAGATAGCAAGTATACAGGTTATATGCACATATAGCATGTAATTTATATAAAATACATCATATCTATGTGTAAGATGAAAGTAACTATGCACTCACTTGATTAGGTGGCGACGCAGCACCTGGACAGCACTTCGTTACTTTTAAAACAATTTCCTTCGACAAAACCTAGTATCATTACCACTAGGGTGTAGTCTAATATTTACTGAGACTAATTAATAGTCTAGCCAATATTACTATTATATAAGCGTTAAGCAACACTCTTATATAACTCATAATAATAGCCCAAATAATCATTTTAAGGTCCTAATAATGTTATTATAATTAATTAGAAGCTATATTAAAAATAGTGTAGGCGTAGCTCACTTACAACGGGTTTTCTCGAAAACCGGGCTTCGCTTGGAGCAGCGTTTCCGAACCGAAAGACCCTTTTTCTCGGGGCTCCGGGAGCCTCGGGGCTTCCTTCGGGTGCTAGGGGGTTTACCTAGACTTTAGGGAGCTTAAGATAGGCTAAAGAGAGAAAGTACTGAGAGAAAGAAGAGATTTTGGAGTGAGGAACTCGGCAGCCTTCGCACTCCCTTTTATAGGCGCAACCCTCGGACAAACGTTGGGCGTACCCTTGGTGGTACGCTGCGCGTAGGGACAGGTGTCTCGCTTCGGGTGGGGCGACGTGGACTCTTCTGGACCGAGCAATGCAGCATTACACGGGGCGTAACTCCTTCCGACGCGGAGCGTACTTCGCATCTCCAGGCTTTCTTCGGACTACGCGACGCGTTACGCCCACCCAGCTTCGTGATTTCATACTCTGACTTCTAAAAATCATAACTCTCGCATACGAGGTCCGTTTTCGACGTTCTTTATATCCACGGGTAGATGGGAACGTACTCTACAACTTTCGTTAGACTCCGTCGGCTAATTTTGACTTTATTTAAAAAGTTATATTTTTAATAGGCCGGGACAGGGTTGGTCCGTTAAAACTCCATAACTTCTTCATTCGACGTCCGTTTTTGTCTGTATTTTTATCGTTACGCTACTATTAACAAGATCTTCGATTCTTGTTTAGGTTGTGTCGCCTATAAACCGCTCGATCTAATATTCGAACTTCGGGCTATACACTACTAAGTCGAAATTTCGAAAAATCATAACTTCGTAATACGAAGTCAGATTTGGGCGTTCTTTTCATGGACGCTCTCGGTTTAAGTTATTCTACGATTTTCGTTTAGATCGCTAAGGCTAAAATTCGCTCTATCATAGATTCACTATTTATGTCTCCCGGTGTCGTGCCGGTTCTGTCGCGAAACTTCGACGGGTCATAACTTCTTCGTTATAACTCAGATTTCAGCGTTCTTTATATGTACGAAATCCTTGTAACATATGCTACAACTTTTATTAAGGTTATTCATTCTAAATAGCCTTCTATCAAAAAGTCGTTTTCGACACCTATCGTCTCTAAATTGACTAGCCCGGATCTACGGGCGTTACACTCTAGGCACTAGATCTGGAAGAGCAACTCTTGGGTCGATCCTTACCCACAAGCTAGAAAATCTTGGACCAAAAACCCAAAAAAGAGGTCATAAATAGATCTAAGATGAGAGTGATCAAGTTTGAGGCTTTATTACCAGAAAATGGAGCTAAAGGGATAAAACTTCTGGATCTACTATTTCTCTCTTGAGTCCTCTAACTTCTTCTTCTTCCACAAGCTTCAAAGGCACAAATAATACTCAAAAGTGACTCACACACTCAAAAAGCACTATAGGGTTTCGTAGCTGAGGGTTTGGGACAAGGAGGCTGCAAATGAGGCTAAGGGGTGGGGATTAAGGTGTTTAAATAGGGTGCAAAACCCCGAAATTAGGGTTTCACCCTGACTGAGCTAGTCACCGAGTCAGGGACTTGACTCGCCGAGTAGATAACTTAAACCCCGCGCATAGACTGCCTTCTACTCGACGAGTTAGGGCTAGCAACTCGTCGAGTCCTTCTCTCAAAATAAATAAATAATAAATTAAATGCGTAGCAGGGAACCGGGCGTTACAGAAATGGTGGGTTTTTTTGATCTAGTTGCAGGTTTGAGGCGACAGTCTCCCATGGTGGAATGAGGACAGGGAAAAAGAACAAGTCGATAAGAATGGTGATAGATCTAGGTTGGAGTCGGACCTTGGAGATGATTGCAACGATTGTATTTTGAATCTACATATTATTGGAGTTGGAAGTTAGGAGTCGACATAGTGGGATGAAGTAAGGAAAAAGAGAACTCCAACCACCACGCTCTGACGACGCTCTGACCTTTCTTGCATCATTACACAAAGACGATGGTTTAAGATGGGAATTCTTTTCAAGATTGAAGGATATATATATATATATATATATATATATATATATATATATATATATATATATATATATATATATATATATAGAGAGGGGGGGGGGGGGGGGGGTTGGGAGTGGGTCATATATTTATTCCTAATAAATCTTTGAATTAAACAAAAAAATAAAAAGAAAATATAACATGATGGCAAATTAGTGTTTTGAATTTGGAGGTAGACAAAAACGGCAAGCAAACTTGTTGAAAAGGACCTTCCATCCAATTTTTATAGTGTTTGGACATTTTTCCTAAAAAATAAAAACTAGAAGGATCAGTTTTGTCTAATTAAAATAAAACAATACACACTCGGTCTTCTTTACCCCCATCATGATCCATAAGACCATAACCCATTTTCTGGACCCGCTTAGAAGAAGTAGGACTAGGTTTCTACCAAATACGAAATCATATTCCTAGCTATATCTTAGGATTCCACTAAAACAAAACAAAATAACCTCATGAGACGTAATCCTGCAGGTTTATGTTTCCTTATATGAATCTTCATTAGCTTGTCGTGGAAGTCACGTGAATAAGGAAACCACCGAGAGGATTTTGAATCTCAGCAGTATATACATATATGATCACAGTTACAACTGAAACTTTAACCTAACCTATAATCGAGATCAGCCATGACTAATTTGTTGGACATAGCTTTGAATTTGGTCGAAGCCTTGGTCTGTTTAGCTGCCTTGGTACTGTTTGCTAGTTGTACCAAGTTGTGCTATCAATGTTATGGCCTCGTCATCCAAGATATTGAAACCCGAAGAATGCCACCAACCCGAACGCCAACAGCCACCCATGTCCCACACCATCTTGTGTTGGCGATACAGCAGGCAAACCTTGATCGACAAGCAGGGGCTCAACCTAAAGGGTATCTTGGTAAAATTACGCAGGAGCAAATATACGACCGTAGTAAATGCAAGAACGATGACTGTGTGATATGTCTTGAGGATTTCAAGAAGAAGGAGAAAATCCAACTTTAGTGTCCTGCCAACATTCGTTCCATGGCCATTGCATCAACAAGTGGTTGTTGGTTAATGGAAGTTGCCCTGTCGAGAAGCCATTAGATCTTGAATAAATATCGGACTGTTTTTCTTTTTTTTTGACTTTTTTTTGTTCAAGAGTGCTTTGATTGATGGTATTCTAAGATTCATGGGTATTGTCAGATTATCTCAGAAACTAAATGAGTATTACTCTTACGTATACTCCAAATAGTTTTGCCTAGATAACTATGTATGTTTTACAAATATATGGTAATGGTATATAGTTTGTGCTTAATTAATTGCCGTTCTTTTAGTTGACTAAACTTATATCATGTGGTTTCAGATGACTTCAATATAACTTTCAAATATTTGTCACGTAACAATAGGTGCACCCGGCCTAAAAAAGTCCGGTCAGCTCAAATATGAATGGCGTTTTGGTACTTGTTGAATTGTAAACGGATAATCATGATGTAATGAAAAATGTTGACTTAATTATGAGTTTATTTGTATTTACAATTGTTGAATTCGTATATGTAATATCACTACAAGAAATGTGGGCAATAGCGGCGACGCAAGGCATTAGCGGCGACATGTGATTAACGCGTCACATGTCGCCACTAATGTCTTGCGTCGCCGCTATTACCCACACAGTAGCGATCCGCGTGAAATGAACCTTGTTCGTTCGATCAGTATTTCATCCAACGGTCGTAAAGGCATAAAAAAGGCGCTGAGTTTTCCCTCCAGGGGTGTCTTCCTTGTCACCGCTAATACCTGTGCGTCGCCGCTAATACCCGTCGCCGCTATTGCTTTGCGTCAGATAACCCCCCCCCCCCTCCTTCGTTCTTTCTTGTTTCGTCTGCCTCTTTCTTCTCACAATCCTCCCAGCGCTTTCCCTACCGATTCTGACCCGCCACCGCCGATTGCTGCCACACACTCGCCGCCGACCGGACCTTCATTACCGGTGACAAGTCCTTCATTGTCGGCGTCCAGCGACCAAGAGGGCATCCAGCGACACAACTACTTTTCCGAAAAATTCAATCTATGGTCGAATTCTTTCCCTAATTTTTATTCTTCTTGTGTTTTGATGTTAGTTTTAGCATTGATTTATATGTTTTCTAAGAGATAGTTTGTATTACAAATTATGTTTTCCCATAAAAGTCAATGTCTTTCATTAAATCGTATATATACTCAATACATGTACATAACTGGCTAGGTATACATAAGTGGGCTTATAAACATAAAGACCATAGAATATATATATAAAACAATATACTAAAGAAGAATATTACGTCTAACATCCCCTCGTAGTCTGAACGGGAGCTCGAGAACGGACGTTCAGACTAGATCTAAAATCAAGAAACAATGTGGATGGCAGGCCTTTAGTAAAAATATCAGCATACTGAGAAGACGAGGGGACATGAAGGACACGTATCTGTCCCAAAGCAACCTGGTCACGAACAAAATGGATATCAATCTCTATATGTTTGGTGCGTTGATGTTGAACTGGGTTGGAGGACAAGTAGACCGCACTAACGTTATTACAGTATACCAGGGTGGCAGATAAAGGGGGATAAAGGAGCTCACGTAGCAGGTTGCGTAACCAACATGTCTGAGCAACGGCATTCGCAACACCCCGATACTCTGCTTCAGCACTAGAACGAGAGATCGTACCCTGTCTTTTAGATGACCATGAAAGAAGATTCTGACCTAAAAACACGCAATATCCAGAAGTAGAGCGACGAGTAGAAGGACAGCCAGCCCAATCAGCATCAGAGTAGGCAATAAGACCACGCGACGTAGATATGTATAGTTGAAGACCATGATCCAAAGTGCCATATAGATACCGGAGAATACGCTTAAGAGCCGTGAAATGAGGCTCCCGAGGATCATGCATATAGAGACAGACCTGCTGAACAGCATAAGTAATGTCTGGTCTGGTAAAGGTCAGATACTGAAGTGCACCAGCGAGACTGCGGTATAAAGTGGGATCACAGACAGGAGGACCAGTACCATCAAACTTGGCAGAGGATTCCGCTGGGGTTCGTGCGGGTTTGCAATGACGCATACCGGCACTATCAAGAATCTTCGTAGCATACGTCTGTTGAGATAGAAACATTCCATGTCTGTCACGTGTAACAGCAACACCCAGAAAATAGTTTAGAGCACCCAAATCAGTCATTGAGAATTCTGAACGGAGAGAATCAATGATTTGTTGAAGAAGAGCAGAGGATGAGGCAGTTAAGACAATATCATCCACATAAAGGAGCAAATACGCGATCTGGTCACCCTGTCTATAAATAAAAAGAGAAGTATCGGATCTACTGTTAGTAAAACCACGACCGGTGAGAACTGAGCGAAACGGTGGTACCAAGCACGGGGTGCATGTTTCAGTCCATATAAGGACTTCTTTAATAGACAAACATGAGTAGGAGCGGACGAGTCTCGGAACCCGGGGGGCTGATGCATGTAGACAGTCTCCTGAAGATTCCCGTGAAGAAAAGCATTCTTCACATCTAGCTGATGAACCGGCCAATGATGAGAAATTGCCAAGCTGAGAACGGTGCGTATTGTAGCCGGTTTAACAACCGAACTAAAAGTCTCATCACAGTCAATACCGGGTCGTTGATTACGACCATTTTCCATGAGACGCGCCTTATAGCGAGCTAGAGACCCATCTGCATTATGTTTCTGTTTAAACAACCAAATACAATTAACCACATTAGCATCGGGGGGCCGAGGCACAAGCTCCCAAGTCCCGCTAGAAATAAGTGCATTAAATTCTTCTTTCATAGCATTTAACTAGTTAGGATCTTGAAACGCTTCAGAATAAGAACGCGGGACAGGGGAGGAAGATGAGTCGACATGAAGATTAAGTTTCACCATCTTTCTGTCTGAAGTCCTTCAGTTCCACTAAGCATTGCTTCACTGATTTAACTTTTGTTTTCTCACTCCCCTGAAATTTCTCCTTGAGAATGTTCCAGATCTCCTTTGTAGTTGTACAACTCCTCACATAGTTGTAAACAACCGGAGGCAAAGCACCTCTTAGCTCTCTTATGCATCTCTTCTCTAGCTTTTTCAGACGATCAGACTGATTCTCAACTTCGGAACTTCCAGAAGATGATCCAATTGGTTGAACATTCATTGGTGGATTGAGATTGCCAGAAATGCAATTCCACAGTTCTTCATCCAATCCGTTGAGATAATCCTGCATACGATCAACCCATTGATCGTAATACTCAGGGATTAGCATAGGAATTTTGGTGGATGATCCTAGAAGATGAGAAAATGAAGTCATGGCATTTAGATTGAAAGACGCCATTGATGTACGGAATAAATCCTTGAGAATTTTTGAAGAAACTTTGAGAATTTGACAACAAACTATATGATTCAAATCAGAATCACTAGTAGAACACTCGATTCAATGATTCAAGTGCAGAATCGAATCACAGACTTAGATCAAATGAATTTTTCACTTTCAAAAAGTGCGGAATTTCTTAAACCAAAAAGTTGATTTAAAAACTTTTGAAAATATGAAAATCAGATCAGAGATATGATTCCTGCTCTGATACCAATTGATGAAACAATGAATCGAGTATGAAATGAATCAGAGTTTAATGATCAAAGTAGGATTGCGAGATTTGAACACCGATGTAAATATGATCTTGTTTCAGCTCTATTACGCTCTCAAGTTTTACAGAGTACAAATGTCAATTCTGTAAAGACTCTTCTTTATGACTCTAGTAAACACTCCTATTTATAGGAGAGGAAAGCGTACAAAAAATATACTAAGGACTATGCGTTAAACTTCGAATACAATGCCCTAGTAAAATAGATTACATAAGATACGAAGACTCAATACATTCGAAGACATTAAATCCTTCGACTAATTACAACTCTATTTACCCTTACATAGGATGAGTGCTTGTAGTGATAGGGTGAACCGGAGCACGAGGAGGACCAGACACATCCGAAGAAGAGGTACCAATAGTAGAAGAAACAGGAGTAACAGCAGCCGATTTGGGTTGTTGAGTGGCAGGTGTAACACCCGTCAAAATTAGGTCAATAACAATCACATGTGATTATGCCAATCATGTAATGTGATTTTGTTAAACTAATAATGTGATAAACTTACTATGTAATTCATGTTAAAGTATGAACATTCATACATAATTTATGATACAACTCAAAGTATACATCCATACGATTCCAAAAATGTAGAGAACGTCTAAATCTGACTTCGCGTGACGAAGTTATGATAAACCGAACACTATAAATCTCTATAATAAGTGGAATTTAAAATAGACTTGGAATTAGCTATTGTAGTCTAAAATAGAGTTATAGTGCTCGTAAATACCTACGCGTGGATATAAAGAACGTCAAAAACGGAGTTCGTATGCAAAAGTTATGGCCTTCCGAAGATGTCGCTGTCAGAAAACCCTAATTTGACTGAACTCACGACGTGAGCATAAAAACTCACAACGTGAGAAGTCAAACCGCCACATTTTGAATCTAGAAGTCTACGGAACGATAACCCAAAATCTCACGACGTGAGCAAGGTTTTCTCACGACGTGAGGACGCTGCAGGACACGAATCGAGACTAGAAAACACCTGGGAAGACTACGGGATGACTCTATCCATAATTCACGACGTGAACCTATCATTTCTCACGTCGTGAGGGCCAAAAATTAGCCTATAAATAGAAATTTCGACCCCAAGGTTTAGTACACCTGATCTCCTTCCTTCTCTCTCGTTTGCTGAAGCCGTTTCGCTTCCCGAGCCCGGTGATCGCGAACCGCTGACTGTTTTTAGTTATGTTCTATCGAAGTACGATATTAAGGTGAGTTTCACAGCCCCACTTTCTAATATTTCGGGGGAAAACGCATGCTAGATATTATATATATGTTATTATTATGTCTATATGATAGTATATAGTTATAATAGCCGGGGTATAGTTGTTCTAAATATAATATTTTGAATATATACAACTATTATCAACATA